TTAATATTAGTAGATTTACTAGATTTTACTGAGTTAAGAGCCAATTAATAAATAGAAATAAGCAATCACACGGAGAGATACTATTCAACGTGGAAAACCCAAAAGGGTAAAAAACCATGGGACAAACAAACCACTTGTGCTCCAAGATTAAGTAGATTCAGATGCACAGATGGTACCTGCTCTAACACAAAGCAATTCGTTATCCACTTCTGTCCAGTCTCTCACTTTGACTTCATTCTCCACAAGCTCTGCCCAACACACGATCACAATGTCTGCGTTTGAACATACAAACTAGGACAGAGCATTGTTTAGGGTAGAACAATGTGCATTTGAACAAACTGGCCCAACGTTTAAACAATTAAGGAAGCCGCATTCGAACAAGGCAATACAATGTTTGCATAGTTCATTTCAACTGACACATAGTAATATAAAACCATGTCTAAGGGTATTGAAGTTAAATCCATTAGTTAATTTAGCCAACAGTCCAAAACTAAACTATCTATGGTCGATAACCCAATAGACCAATCAAGATACTAGATGATGTCAATGCAATTCATGAGTTTTACTTCTTTTTTTTTTTATCAAAGTCTTTTCTCACCTAAATGAGAGACCACAATCATTTCTTCTTTTTTTTCCCTCACCTCAAGATCAAAACGGAGCACCTTATTTACCTTGGGCTGTATGATAGGCGGAAATCTGTGATTGCTTTTGCTGATGGTGCTTAAAACTGGTGGTCTCTCCCAACTTCCTAATTTGTATTCAACCAAACACAACATAATTTTAGGGAGCAAAGTCAAACAATCCCCAATAAATAATAATATAAATTAAATTGTAATGCAAAAATAGACATTAAGAAGAACCCTATGATCAGACCACCTCAACTCAGATCAGTGAATTCCACAATTCCAAACAGAATCAACCAATCACACACGAATTCACAAAAATCAAAATTCATAACCATATCGATGACAGATCGAACACAATATAAACATAGATGAAATCACTGTATTCAACCAAACACAACATAATTTTAGGGAGCAAAGTCAAACAATCCCCAATAAATAATAATATAAATTAAATTGTAATGCAAAAATAGACATTAAGAAGAACCCTATGATCAGACCACCTCAACTCAGATCAGCGAATTCCACAATTCCAAACAGAATCAACCAATCAAACACGAATTCACAAAAATCAAAATTCATAACCACATCGATGACAGATCGAACACAATATAAACATAGATGAAATCACTGAGACCAATTACTAAAAGCACAATCTAGATCTCATAGTGCAGAGCAACACATCAGTGAAAAACAATTACTGAAACAGAGATGAAATCACTGAGACCAATTTTTCAAAACACTGATTCAACATTTTTCAAAACACTGATCCAGAGCACAGAAGAAACAGAGATAAATCACAAACAGAACAATTAACCTTTGATCGAAGAAGACGAAGAGTTCCAAATCCAAAGAGATAAATCACGGAGCTGTGCTCAAAATCGAATTTCGAAATCACAATCCCGAGATGAATCATCGAACTGAAGAGGAATCGAAGAAGAATCACTGAGTTGAAGAAGAATCGAGAGAGATTTGAGTGAGAGAAAGAGAGAGCAACTAACCTCTGATCAAAGAAGACGAAGACTTTCAAATCTACAGAGATAAATCACGAAGTTGTGCTCAAAATCGAACTTCGAAATCGCAATCCTGAGATGAATCACCGAGTTGAAGAAGAATCGAAGAAGAATCACTGAACTGGAGAAGAATTGAGAGAGATTTGAGTGAGAAAAGAGAGAGCAAGAGAGTGAGTGAGAGATTTGAGTGGGCGAGAAAGAGGCAGCGGTGCTCAAGATAGGGTTTTCAAAATAAAGGTTTGGAGAGATAGAAGTGGGTGTGAAGAGAGACATGATTTGGAGGCGTTTTTTAAACGTCTTCAATTAACAAAACGGTACCGTTTTACTTAATAACAATTGCGACGTTTAAAAAGCGCCGTTAATTGTTAGAAACAGTGACGTTTAATAAAACGCCGTTAATTAAACGCCATTAAATCCCCAATTTCTTGTAGTGGCTTTCTTGATTCAATCAAAAAGGCAAAAGACTATTTTGCTGGTTTTGATTTTAAAAATATATATTAAAGGTTGGAGATTTGATTACATATGGTATGAATTATTCCTGTTTTAGAGTACTTATAATTTTGTTTGTGAAAATAAAAATGTTGATGTATAAAGATGGTAAATAGAGATTCTCATTTTTATTCTGGTATTAATGTGTTTTTTTTTTTTTCAACAAAACAAATGGCTTCTTCATTAAGCCCATTGGGCAATGATTGGGTTGAGTTCAGAAGAAAGACAAATCTATGACCCACTAACTAACACTGCATACCTAATAATAATAATGGCCCCATTTGAAAAAAAAAAAAAAAACAAAAAACAAAACTAAAAGCCAACTTTTAACTCATTTTGGATCATATCACTTCTCATATTTTTTTCAAAAAAAAAAAAAAAAAAAAAAAAAAAAAAAAAGTCAAAAATGCAGTTTTTAACCATCATCCCAAATCTCCTAATAATAATAATAACTAGTGATTGGGCAGACGAGATGTATGTGTAAACTTGTAAAAAAAATATAAGTTTCAAATAATGCATTCAATATGTTGAATATATAAATTAAAAAAATAAATTGAATATAAAAATAATTTTGGATGAACTCAGTATCTTTAACTGAATATAAATTTTTAAAAAATTGAATATAAAAATAATTAAACACAAATTCAAAGACTAAACATTTGTAATAAAAGAGATTTGATAAATATGAAAAAAAATTAATTAAAAACTAAAAAAAAAACCTTAAAGATAATGCAAAAGTATATGAGTGTTATATATATATATATATATAATATCAAACCTTGAAATTGAAAAAAATTTCTGAGCATCTATTTCTTTATTTTACTTCTACTTCTTCTTCTATTTTTTTTCCCCCTAAAATAAGTGACTTTCAAAATAGTTATGAATGTATATATATCCTATTAAACATTGAAATTCAATAAAAAAAAAAAAATCTAAATATCTATTTGTTGGTGCTAAAATTTAGAGTCCTTCGTCGATAGGTGCTAACAAGACAAAAGACTGACATGGCATAGATGACGTGGAAAAAGTGTAAGTATTGACCGATGTGACATAAACAAGTGTTGGGATAAGAGATAAGGAAGAAACTGATCAAAGGGAAATTCGAAATTCAAATGCAATTCAGTCAATGCCGGGATAAGAGATAAGAAAGAAACTGATCAGAGGGGAATTCGAAATTCAAATGCCATTCCTGGAATGAAGGGATAAACATGCAGAAAAATTAGAGAATCTAGGAAGATCGAGATCAAGAGCCAGGTCAAAAAGCAAATATAAAAGAAGGCTAAAGACGGAGGAATCAAATCATCTCAACCCTTATTCACAAGACGTGATATTTATCTAGGAGTAGTTTAACTTAGCAATTGTTAGGAATAGATTAGTGATATCTTTTTTCAACCCCAACTTCTTTTCTTTTTGTCCGATTGTTGTATTTTTCATTTCTTTATTCTTGTTTTAGTTCTTGTAATTGGTAACAAGTGATAATTTGATTGAATAAATACATATTCTTTTCTATTCCAATCCTTTTTTGCTTAATTACCTCCAGGTGTTTAAGGTATAGAATTCAACCACAATTTTTTTTGTTTTTGGTTTATTTGGAAATTGGTTTAAGCCTGTCGATCAATCACTGTCGATTGGGTGTAAACTGAATTTTGCTAACACTATTTCTTCCTCATTATTTTTTCTAAAATAATTAAATTTTCATAATATATTTTCAACATACTATTTTCTGCCATCCAAGAATTAAGATTTTTTTTTTGTTTTTTAATATTTTATTATTATCATTGTTTTTCGTGTTTCAAAAAAAACTTATATATATATATATATATATATTTAAAATGTATACAAAAAATTATATAAAAATAAGTTTATACTCAAAATGATAACCTATATAATTTAAATTGACTAGACACACACACACACACACACACACACACAAAACAACACACACAAAAACTAAAAAATAACAAAAAAATACTAAAAATAAAAAAATCATTTTCAAAAAATTGAATTCAGAAAATTAGAATTTTTCATCTCAACAATGAAAATAATAATAATAATTTTAAATAAATTCTTTCGACAATAATTGAATTTTAATTATTTTTTTCACCCACTCAATTTTGAAATTACTATTATCGATTCTATTAAAATTAATTTGGACAATAAACTAGTTATAAGTACGGGCATGCATACACATAAAGTAGCCAATAAATTTTCGACTCAATTAGGTTATCTGTGATCAATTCTAGATAATTTGAGACTTAAAAAGATAATTATGAAGAATTTTATATTTTTTTGCAAAGTATATTATTTAAATTTTAATTTTTTTATATGTAGGGGGCTTTATTGATTTTTAAGGTATAATTTGGAGGTAAAATAAAATTTTAAATTAAATTTAGTGCTAAATCATCAAATTCAGTTTAATTATAAACGAAAATAGACGACGAGAAGTATATTGAACAAATTTAAAAAAAATTAAGAATTAAATTAAAATAATATAAAATCTTAATACGAAATTGATTTTTACATAATAATTTAAAAAACAAAATAATATTTTTTCGATATTTTATTTTACTTTTATTTTTATTAACTATCATAACCAAAATACATCATCCCAAACCACCCCTAACATCTCGTGTCATTCATCGTATTTGTAAAGCAACAATGATTCATTCCACTAATTTGGGAGTACTAATTGAACACTAATGAGGTGGAAATTCAAAAAAAAACAAAAAAAAAAAACAAAAAAAAAAAAAACAAAACACCACGTCAATGAATGGGGCCCACCCCTAGCGGAGCTCATAATTTAGAGCTCCCATATATTTTTTTTTGTAAAGAAACTCTCTTGTCTCCCTCTCGTTCCTCCTCAACTTGTCGGTTGCCGCCGTTGCCTCCACCGCTAGCCTTGTTGGTCACCGTTGATCATCCTCTCAGATCGCCTCCGCTCGCCGATTTGGTAACTGGTAAGTCTCTCTTTCTCTTTGCTCTCTTATTTACTCTCCAGATTTGTTTCTTTTGCTCTTTTATTTACTCTCCTTTTGCTATCCAGGTTATGGGCATTTTTTTTTTAATATTATTTTTTGATCTTGGAGTGCAATGACCACAATTGTTTGTTTGTATGAATTTGGACTAATATTATTTTGTGTTAGATTGTGGCTAATTCGTACTAATCTCTCTCTCTCTCTCTCTCTCTCTCTCTGCGTTAACATTTTCATCATTTGAAATTGGTTCTCTGCTTTTTACTTGATTTCTCTGTGTTTCTTATCTGTTAATTGTCTGGTTTTTACCAATCTATTCATATGTTTTTGGTTTATTGATTTATTTCCATGTCTTAGAATCTCTCCATCTGTTCCTTAGAAATTCCATATATTTTTATAGGTGAACTTGTAACCGAATGAGTCTTTTTTTTTCTTTTTTTTCACAGTTCTAGAAATATTAACAAATTTCTTGAATTCCCGAAAAATAATATTTCATCTTTTTCCAAATGTAACACTTTGCCAAACGTTAAGACTTTTGAAGTGCAATGTTACATCTTTGCTATTAGTTCAAAGTTATCAATTCATTCCTCATTCTTTCTTTTAGGAAGTGTTCTGCTATCACTGTCACCTTTCTTAAAAAAGGATTTGATTCATGAAACATTATTTGAGAGAGGTGTTGCACAGCAACTGTGATCATCGTGATAAATGATTGTTTGATGTTATAGAACTATATTTTTTTGATTTATTGACTCAAAATCACATACGATACATCAACCTATTTTTCTTTTTATATTATTTGGTGTATTAAGGAAATGAATCATTATCAATATCTTTTTTGCAATTGAGGTTGTTGCAGCTGGTGAGCATTACAAGATTTCCTTTTGTCCTTTTTTACTCAACTAAAATCAGTAACATGTTTGTTCTGTTTATTTTTGTGTCATCAGAAAAATAAGGCTCTTGACAGCAGAGGTGGCAAAATGTTGAGCAATAGGGATCAAAATTTACCTGAAGATGTTGTGAATGAGATACTCTCAAGGCTGCCCGTGAAATCCCTGTTGTGATTCAAATGTGTCTGCAGGTACTGGTACACTCTAATTAAAAGCCTTGATTTTATTAGCAAGCACTTTAACCAGGAAAACAATAATGGTCGTCTCCTTGTTCATTATTGTATTTCCGATATTGATAGATATGCTATTGCTCTTTTCCCTGATGAAACACTTGTAGGCATATTGCCTTTACATGAAAATTTTGATCATCTACAGATCCCAGAATATATGGGACATGTTGTTGGCCTCATTGACGGCATATTTTTGGTATACACTTATGGGTATAGTGATGGCAACCGTATGGCTCTGTGGAACCCTGCTATGAGAGAGTTTAAACTCTTCCATGTACTCTGAGCCAATTTTTCCACCTAATTTTCATGCTGTTGTAAATATAGTTGGATTTGGGTTGGACCCATTGACTAGGGTTTACAAGATTATTTGGATTCGCAACTTTGTTGAAAGGATTGGTGATGAATCAGGTGATGACATAGATTATCCTTATTATGTTGTTGCACTATACACTCTAGGTAAAGATTTGTGGAGACATTTTGATCTTCTTACAATACCTACAGGCCATTTCATCTATAATTCTTTGTGTGTGACATGCATAAATGGAGCATATTATTGGCTGTGTTTTGTAGGTAATGATAGTAAATATGGGATCCTTTCTTTTGACATGAGGCTAGAATTAATCCTGAACAGAAATGGGGATCTCTTTCATTGTACAATGATTCTATTGGTTTGTTCTTTTGTCAAACTTATGTGATTTTGGAATGTAGTATTGATATTCATTCCCGATGTACCAAAAAAAAAAGGAATGTAGTATTGATATATGGGTGATGGAGGAGGAAGAATGTTGGATCAACTAGTGACAATAAACCCTTTCCATAAGTTTTATGTCGGTGCGGGTTTTGGAAGGAGAAGGAGCTTTTGTTTGAAAGTCGGACGAACGAGCTGGTGTTGTTCAACCATGAAACCCATGAGATCAAAAATCTTGAAATGTACGGATGTGGCAATGCTCTTGGGCTTTGGGCTGTTTGTTACAAAGAGAGTTGTTATCCGATTATTCCCTTAATAAATCGAAACTATATATGTTGACTTTTTTAACTTTGTATTATTATTTTGAAGAGCAATACTGTATCTCCTTAATTTCTAACCCCAAACTCCCTTTCAATGATAACAATTTATTATTTTGCCACGTCATTGGAGGAGTTTGTATTTTGAAGTGCAATACTACATCTCCCTAATTTCTACCCCCAAACTCCCTTCCAATGATAACAATTTATTATTTGCCACGTCATTGAAGGAATTTGGAAAAATTAGGGGGATGGGACATTTTTGGCACTTTTTATCTCAATCTCATTATTAATTGGAAGACTTGAATATCTATGAAAACCCCTCCTATTTTGTTAAGGCCCATTCTAATGGCTGATATTGTTGGAATTGTGTATGAGAGGGATTAACCCTCTCTTTTCTTTTTTATTCTGTTGTTTAACAAGCTCGCTCGAGCCAAGAAAGACAGCTCTCAGGTCCAGAACCAGACGCAACACGACTCTCGCTCGAGCGACAAACTCCTCGCTCGAGCGAAGGACCAAAAATCTGGGCAGCAACACTAGGCTTCCAAACACAACCAACCTGTAACAAACCTGCCCAACACATCCCATAACTCAATATACAAAGTACAAAGGATGCAAACACGATAATAGACAACAACCAACATCCACGGACACATGTCCGGATCACTATGCAACAAGGGTAAACCTGGGATCACTATAGAAAGAAAATTTAATTGACTGAGCTCTAGAATGTGAGAGAGAAGAGAGAAAAAAGAGTAATTCTGTTTTTTTAAAATTAAATTATTTAATCTTTATCTTTGTTTTTAGGTCATGAAATTATTTTTAATAAATTATCAATTTTTTTATGTTTATTTGTGGGAAAAAAAATTTAAAATTCAAATATTTATTTATAATTCATGAAATTAATTTTTTAATTAATTATTTAATTTTAATTTTATTTATAGGTCATGAAATCAATTTTATAAAATTTGTATTAGTTTTTATATGTTATCTATATTGAAATTAATTAAAGTACAAATGAGGAAAAAAAAAGAAAAGAAAGAGTGCTTCTTTTTTTTTAAAAAAAATCAATTATTTTATCTTTATCTGTAGGTCATGAAATTAAATTTTTTAAATTAATTTTGGGAGGATTTACGTGTAAGTTTTAATAAATGGACTGATTGTCCAGCAGTCCAGTTAGAATTAATAGCGTTTTTCATTAAATACTATTAAAAAATATCACTAATTATTAATTTTCAGTGATGGCATGCAAATTTTGTTACAAAAAATGTCACTAATTATAAATTTTAATGACAATTTAACAAAAACATCACTAATTTTTAATTTTCAGCGACAGTTTAAAAAATTTGTCACCGAAAAACGTGATTGATTGTAAGTTTTAACGACAATTTATAAAAATCTTGATAAAGAGTCACTAATTGTCAATTTTTAGTAACATATTTAAAAAAAATCATCACAAAAATTTTATTTTTAACGACGATTTTATTAGGACTTATTTTTAATAGGACCTAATGGAAATTAAGTGTAACTATTAGGATCTATTAGTAATTTATCCTTAATTTTGATATGTTTATCGATGAGAAGGAAGTTTATAATTCAAATCTTTATCTGTAAGTTATGAACTTAATTTTTTTTAATCACTTATTTGATTTTTATCTTTATCTATAAGTCATGAAATTAATTTTTATAAATTAGTTATAATTTTTATATGTTTATTGGGAGAAACTTTGAAATTCAAATTTTTATCCATATGCCATGAAGTTAATTTTCATTTCAATTAATCAAACAATTAAAAAATAGAGGAAAAGGTAAAACATGAAAGACAATTTAGGAATGAGAAAATTTTAAAATTATGAAAATCTAGGAATAGAATTTTGCAGTTTTTTTTTTTTTAAATATTTTTTTAAAGAAAATAGTACATTTGCTTATATAGATAGTATCGATAGATAGATAGATAGATAGATGCATGGCACATTGTTCATATGCAGCAGTTGACCTGTCTATGATATCTTTTCAAAGAACAATTGCAAACAACCCCAGTCCAAGATCGAAGTCCAGATCGAAGTCCAAATCGAATTTTAAAATTGTGTTTAAATCAATAATTTGAGGAGATATAGGTAGAGCAAAAAGAAGAAGAAAAAAATCCACACATTTATAACATTTGGAGGAGTTAGAGACATTTAAAGTTGTATTTCGATTATGAATTTTAATAAAAATTTGAAAAGAAAAAGAAAAGTAAAAAAATGTGAACAAAATATAAACTTTTTATTTTTAATTTTTTATTTCCTTTGCATTTTCTCTTTCTTTTCCGCTTTCCTCTTCAAACCACATAAAGAAAGAATTATTAAATTCACTTCCAGATCAGTCCACACCAATCACCAATTGAAATATCTCATATTGTCTTTCCAAATATTAATTACACAAACAAAAGTTATATATCAATCACATTCAAGACTTTAAAATAGCAAGCAATGACCACCATTTCTCCACATGAAGAGGTAAATGAACTCTCACAGCATAGCCCCAAGTTTGCAAACAGAGTGTGTGTTAAAGATCTTGACTGACACCATATTTCGAATGCAAAGAACATCTTCAAACGAAAGAGGGTAGCAGTAAGGCTTCATAAAGAATGTTGGTGATGACTTTATTCTCACAATTCAATGTGTTGGACCCCTCTACTCTACTGACCTCCTTCTAATTCTCTTTACGGTGATGACTTTATTCTCACAATTCAATGTGTTGGACCTCTCTACTCTACTGACCTCCTTCTAATTCTCTTTATGGTGATGACTTCATTCTCACAATTCAATGTGTTGGAACCCTCTACTCTACTGACATCCTTCTAATTCTGTAAAGATTAACCTTAAATTCTTTCATTTCAAATTTCTTACTTGTCTAAATGAAACCAAAGTTAATAAGCAGCAGTTAGGGTAAATGCTATATATCATCAATAAAATTTGGCAATCCCATGTCGATTGAAAATTAGGGTGTTTTAATTTATTTATTTTTTTTTTTTTGTGTGTGTGTGTGGAAATGCTCAAGTTATTCTCCTATATATATTTTTCGAATCCTCAAAAAAGTACAACAAATAGTGAGGGTTATTATACAGAGATGTGGACTAATGTCATTGACTTTTATTCTATGAATGAATTAAGTTGGAATAGAAGTAATATTTTGTATGTCCTTAATTAAAACTAGACTTTATTTCTTGGTTTTGAATTTTCATAGTGTAAAGTCAGATTACTTATGCAGTGTTTGAATTTTAAATTTGTGGACCATAAGTATAGATATAAATTCTTTTCCTAAAATGAACAGTGCCCAGGTTGCGACCTCCATGAATATGAGAATTACACACCTGTTAGTATATAATTGCATGAACATATTGGAAATATGGAAATTTTGAAACTTTCTAATTGTCACTTCTCCTTTCGGAAGATACGTATTATAAACAAACTACAACATCAATTTGTTAATTTTATGAATAGTCACTATCAAAATCTATTGAAATGCCTTAGTACTTTATAATTTCTAGGGTGAATGACATCTTAGTGGGATAGAAAAAATTTTATCACACAAATATGGAGGGGTGCAAGTCACACTTGCATCTCTATAATTTTTAATTTGCACTCACCACAGAATTACTTGCACCCCACAAATTTTTGTAATTTTTTTCTCTATGCCCCACTATTCCATAAATTTCTCTTTCTATTCATTTCTTACCAAACCATCTCATCCAAATAAACTATATAGTTAAATGGACAGAGAAAAAAAAAGTGACAAAAATAAAAGTTAAATGTGTCACTTTCTCTTCTTTGTACAAAAATTACTATTCAAACTAAAGATCCAAATTAGACACCCAAGAAAATGGAGAAGAAGAAAGAAAGAAGGAAAGAAAGTAGGTATGTATGCATGTACGTGTTATTGTTACCACTTTTTTCTCCATTGTGAGTCTTTTATTCATCTAAACACAGTGTGAAACAAAGACTTCATTTGACTTCCTCGTTGTAATTTATCAACAACCTCCCACTTTGGTATCCGAAGAAAATGAAGAATAAGAGAGAATAGTATTGGCTACGGAGGCCTCAAAGTAAAAAAAAAGTAAAATAAGAAATAAAAGAAGAAGATAATTTTGGTCTCATTAGACACTTTGTGCTCTTGACTTACTGCGTTAAGAAAAATAACTTTGCTTTGTATTTTGAGAAACAAAAAACACTGCTTTATATTTTTTATTCTTCTATTTTCGTTTTTAAGATACACACTATCCACACAAAAAATGGTAAAAACTATAAAACATAGAGAAATTGTGTAGTGTTATTGGAATAAATATAAGTGGTGCATGTGCTCTAATTTTATAATTGTCGATTTAAATAACACAATTTATCACTATTGTGCTATTGTTCATTCTTCAAATGTGTTATATAACATACAATATATCCTAGATGATCATGACTTTCTTGATCCAATTGAAAAGGTAAAAGACTATTTTGCTAGCTTTGAATTTAAAAATACCAGCAGTCCACATATGCAATATGTGTAACTTGGAAAAAAACAAAAAAAATAGAGTAATATCATATAAATAATAACAGAAGAATATGCTTATATAGTGTGTTGCTGAAGTGGAAAGTATTTTCTTTTTCAAACCAAAGGTTTATGGGTCAAGCCTTAATCATCTCCTTATATAATTTTATTTTTTTAAATAAGTTAGAAAGGCATTTTAAAAAATGTCACAAAA